GAACATTAAAAAAATATTCAAAAAATATTCAGAAACTAGCAAAGATTTCAATTTAAACGTAAAAATGATCCATTCAAAATAAAAACTATATATGTATATACAGAGTAGTGGATAGCGACTCGGACTGAGGAATCGGAGAGCCGAGTCCGAATTCCAGTCGAATTCACAACATTCACTTACTTGCTAATAATACTAATCCTCTTCTTACCTAAAATAAATAGTAGGACAGACTGGGTTCTATAGCCTTGGATAGCAACTAGTCTGAATTTAAACCCTGCGGAGGATCGTCTGGGGACCTTGTGGCACGTAGTGCACCAGATCTCTGTATAAAATATACTATATAATTGGGTGAGGTGTAGATGGTTATAGTCTGTATATTGTGTATTTATTGTGTAGATATCGAGATACACATGTAGAGTGCTCATATTTTGTATTGATGTCCAAAAGACGTGCATTATGTATTTGTTATTTGTTTGCCCTTTTAGATATCTGTTATTTCCACTGTGACGGTCATTAATACAATACTACCACCACCGATCACAATTTTTAAATCTGAGGTTATTTCCACATTAAGTTTCGCACAGTGAGAAATCAAACAGGGAACGGATTTTTTTCTAATAATTACAAGCGGATTCTACCTAACTCAAAAACTTAATGTTGGCTTTCCATATATATATATATATATATATATATATATATATATATATATATATATATATATATATATATTATTCCTCACCGGTAGCACAACTCTGAGTTTCATGCACGATGCAATCGTCAGATGCAGATTGAAAAAGAATTTTCTGATGATTGCGTTGTGCTACCAGCGAAGAGAAAATTGTATATTTATTATTAATGGAAATTATAGTTGTGTTAATATACATCACGCACTAACTTATTAGCACCAACATTCAATGTACGATATTTCATTTCATATATATATATATATATATATATATATATATATATATATATATATATATATATATATATATATGTGTGTGTGTGTGTGTGTGTGTGTGTGTGTGTATACTTTTATTTGACACCACAATGCGACTGCGGAGTGTCCCTAAGCAACTTCCAAAAGATGATTCTTTAATAACATCTGCCACTTTGAAACATCGATCGCAAACACATACTAATCCAATTTAGTGTAGTTCGTTATCTTCTAGTAACATATGGAATTTAAAAAAAAAAAACATATTAAATAAATAAATAAAGTGGCTGCTGAGGTCTCTGATGTATAAAACGATAATATTTCGAAGGAAGCGGTGGAAACTAGGCATTAGGCTTTTTCTACTGTCAAATTTCCCGGATCATTCAGATACAATACAAAACAGTGAAAGAAAGTATATTTATTATCAAATACGCGTTATAAGAAGGACAATATGAAAAATTATAACCAATATTATAAAATGTTATTACCAAATATCATAATGAGATTTAAAAAAAAATATAGCCAATCTTAGTGAAAAAAAATCAAAAACAAAAAACGTATCAATTATACCAAATAGTACAAAAAGATTTCAAAGATTATATTTTATAATCCGTGTTATATAAAGCAATATACAGTTTGTTCTACTGATTTGGCGCTGCCGAAATCTAGCAAAAGGGTCGAAAGAGACAGTTTTTCTAAGAAAGGCAGCGTCGCATCAGTCTTCCAGGGAGAGCATGTACTATGCCTTTAATGGAATCCAGTATTCTAGGAATTGTTATTTCGAACCGTTTTGTGTTTTTTTTTTTTGTTTTTTTTTTGGAGGGGGGTTCAAATAGTGATTTTTTTTTGTTCTCCAATGGTATTCAAAGGACAATCGAAGAGTTCACATCCCAAAATGCTCGCGCGCACACGCACACCCAGGTACACATATTTTTTTTTAATACGAGACAAATAGTAACTTGCAAATGAAGAGAAAATTAGAAAAAGAGAACGAGAGAATTTCGACAGGCAAAAGGCCGACTCGGGCAATGTGTTGAAAGCATTATATGGTATTAAATTTATATATATATATATATATATATATATATATATATATATATATATATATGTAAACAAAGACTCCAGATTCTGGATGCTGTTGCTATAAAAGAGAAACAGCCAACATTACACACACACACACACACACACATATATATATATATATATATATATATATATATATATATATATATATATATATATATATAAGGGAACCTCGATTTACGAACACCTCCACTTACGAAAACATCGCCATAAGAACAAAAATTTCACAGAAAATTCGTTTCTACTTACGAATTAATTTCAACATACAAAATTAAAAATGTGCTTGCCGCCATTGCATTTCAAACTAGATATTTGATATAAATGTACTGTAAATACTTTTAAATCTTATCTAAATATACAGTATTTTATATTTTTATGTTTTGTATATTATATTATTATATATTTTATATATAATAATATTATACTATAGTATTATACAGTATTACAATACTTTTTTATACTGTATTTTTATACTGTATTGTACTCTACTAAATATTTGCAGATTTATTTTATACTGTATTTTTAATTCTTATATTTTTATGTTTTATATAATTATATACATAATTATGTACATTATTATATTATAATATATTTTATATACAGTACTGTATTATATTATTATACATTATTATACAATTCCATATTTCTATACAGTTCCATCACACTAAATGTAGTGTGATGTTACAAGCATTGCATCATCCCGCTCAGTCCTCTTTGTTACTTTGTAGAATAAACATTTGTAGTGTACACATATTTGTGATTATATTAGTGTAAAAAATTAATAATGTACAAAAATTTTGTACAGCAATGGATACAGAACATGAACACTACTGTACAGTACAGTAACATGTAAATATTATTAAAATTTATTGAATTAAAAGTCGGTAAAATGTGACAATGCTGAGTTCGTTTCGTTTTATCTCTATGTCATGTAAAGTGTGTTTTAGTCTAACATGCAGCGTATAATCATTGAATTTTAAACTGATATCAATACAGTACAACAGAAAAATGTAAAACAAAAATTATAAAATTTAACTGGGGTAAAATAAAATGCATAAACAACGCAGTAAAATAAACACTGCATCCAGTTCAGGTTGATTTGTATTGTACATCACTGCAGTTCCTTTATATATCTCTTATACAGTTACAGTACTGTACAGTTTAATGTGTTTCTGTAAATATCACTGTACATATACAATAAATTTTAAATTTTAGTGGGAAATTTTTTGATAATTTTTGTAGCCCACGATTTCACCCAAGAAGCTGGTTCTCACTTAGAAGAGCGAAAAATATCCGTGCAAATGAAGAAGATCATTCAGAAGCACAAGGAAGGTACCCGTGTTTCTAACCTAGTCAATCTATATAGACGTTCAGCATCAACAATTTGCACTATCCTAAAGAACAAGAAAGAAATAAAAACCTTGATGTAGCCAAGGATGTTAACATAATTACCAAGCATTGTCCAAAAGCCTTAGAAGATGCTGAGAAGCTGTTGTTGGTGTGGATGGGAGAGAGGCAACTACGAAGTGATTCTGTGTCTGAAGATATTACATGTGCAAAAGCAAGGGCATTGTATGTGGATCTGTAAAAAAATAATACCAGGCACGTCTTCTGAAGATGAAAATACATTTAAGGCAAGCCGAGGATGGTTTGAAAAATCTAAAAAGTGAAGCGGCATCCACAGTGTAGTGAGACATGGAGAGGCTGCAAACTCTGCTGCCTTGTTTCAGAGGTGTTTTGAAATAACCGAAAATACAAACCTGACCCCAAGAGAATTTTGGAAGGATTACTTCAGTATCCTAAATTGCTTAAATCTCATTGATAAAACCTGGGAAGGAGTCACAGTGGTATATTTATTTACATTATCTGTGTATAATATTTGAAAATGTGCTTTAATTTTGCATAAAATACGATTTTTATATCAATAATTTTGGGCTTTGGAACGAATTAATTTAACATTATTTACATTATTCGGTTCTCATCTTTGTCGCCATATTTATTACAACGATTCGGCCGTTGTACGCTTGGGCCTTCTTCAGGTGGTTGGAATGACGAACTGAACCCTTTATTTCGCCCACTGGAGTAGACTGTTCTGGTTCCATTTGCCATATTTAATGGATGTCAGTTATCAGTTATCTCTGCCAATTTTAATGGATGTCAGTTCAATGCCAGTTATCTCAGTGGAGAATTTTCCTCTGAATTCAATGGAGATAACTGATAACGACATCCATTAAATATGGCACGGAGAACAGTCTACCTCAGTGAGCGAAATAAAGGGTTCAGTTCGACATTCAACCAACTGAAGAAGGCCGAAACAACGGCCGAAACGTTGTAATAATAAATATGGCGACAAAGATGAGGACAATAGTCCGAATAATGTAAATAATGTACATAATACCTCATCTCAGAAATATAGACAGATATTGAATTAATTTAATTTCTATTATTTTAAATGGGTAAAATTGTTTCGACATACGAAATTTCCAGTTAAGAATCCATTTCTGGAACGGATTAAATTCGTAGGTCGAGGTTCCTCTGTATATTAATAAAGACAAAAGGAAAACTTATCATAGCCAAGTTATCTTAGCTCAGAGTTTCATTCTCTTACGGACTTTATCAATGTAGATGTGAGGATTTTATTTTGCAACATGCATTTACAAACAAAATTTAAAATGTCATTTTTTCAAAACTTTCCCAGTTTAAGACACGCCGATAGAATTTTGTTTATAAATACTTGTTGCAAAATAAAATCCTCACATTTGTCTTGGTGAAGCCCATCAGAGGACGAAGCGCGCCTGCTAAGTTTTCCTTTTGTCTTTATTCATATTGTTCTTTCATAGATATATTGTAGTTATATCTAAAAAAAACTTTACACATATGTATACACAACAATCACACACATACAAGCATACATAGACACACACACACGCGCGTATATATATAGCGTTATCTATTCACTTCACAAACCCACACGCTATACGTGCAAGATCAACTGTTCGCTCGGCGTCCTGTATGTCCCTAAATTGTATCCTCTGTGTGACTGTGCCACAGTCAGCATCTCACCGACGTTTTCCTTTGTCGGCTTGAATGTCTCACATATAAAGATCATCTGCGACGAGGCGGGTGAATGGTAAATAGACGAAGACGTTGAGGGCGAGAGTGATGTGGAACTGGACGACGAAGGTAGCGGAGAATGCCGAAGAATCTCTGGCTTGATCCGACCTGGTATCGCGCCACTATTATGGCCTCTTTGACCAAGCCTATCCCCGGCGCTAATTGTTCCTTGTCTGGTCTCATCCAGTCGGAGACCGGCGTCAGCCCTTGCTCTGTTCGCCCGGACACGGCTGCACTGCGCGTTGACAACATCGCTAATCCCTTGTTTCAGTTTCGTCACGCACGGTGGTTTCTTGTGCCTCTCTTTCCAAGACTGCCAGTAAAGAAAAGAGGCAACGAATAGGGTTATTAATCCAACAACCACGACGGCGCGAATAGTGCCTGCCGAAATCGGTGTATCATAAGGCTCCAAGAGTCTGTCGTTCGTATTATCTGCGAAAAACAAACAAAAAAAAATATTACAGTTTGTACAATGTATAATATCTGTTGTGAGAGAGAATATTTACCTACAAGTTTGGACTCGGCCGTCGGATGAAAGGCATAAAAATAGACCCACATCAAGAGGAGTAACAGGAGGAGCAATAGCAGCAGTAGCTTTTGCTGAAAACAGTCATTCATGCCTAAACATTGTCCACCCTAGTTTCTATTCTACATTATGTTTCCTTGTACCGAAAGGTAATAAACTTGTTGAACCAATTCCGTTTTTCTACTGTTGTTTTTGATAACTCAGTTACAACAATATCGAATTCCCGATTATTTTTTTAAATGTCGTTAATTAAATTATTTTCGAAATTACAATAAGTATATATATCAAAATTAAGACTCTCTTCATAATAATTGATTATACGATCGTATCATTGTTATAATAAAGAAACGTATACAACATATACAAAGTGAGTGGGGTGTGCGAAATGACACGACACGTCCGTGCATGGCTCGATTTGACAAGGACTTACCGATGAACACCGATATATGCCGAAATTATCCGAAGTTGATTTCGGGATGACTCAACAAACCCTCATTGTGCACGTATTGAATTGTGTCCGAAGTAGTGAGGACGCCTAGCTTGTACTGAACATATTTTTTATTTTTATTACATAGCGTTTAATTAAAATGGACAAATTTTTAATTAAAAACAAAAATTAGTAGACGACGCTTGTGATGCCGCAGAAATTTAACTATGGGTTCAAGTGTGGCGTGAGATAAGAAAAGGGCAAACATGGACTTTTATGCCAGCAAGAAACTATTTTTACCTCGTGCTAAACGTATTTTTATTACGTAGTTTTTGAATACTTTGCTTAGTATTGCTTCGGATTTGGGTATCACTTATTTAAATAAATGTGGATTATATGGTATATGTTTACTTTTGTAAATCTGCGTGCTCTGCTGCTGTACTAGATTGTACCCCGTCAGAAACACGATAATTTTTATTTTACTGTTATTTGAATAGATTTCATAAATTAAAAATAAAAATATTCAAAGACAGTTAACAAAAAGCCAAAGAAAATAAAAAAGCAATGTATTTTGCAGCGGAACCTCTTCTATTTCATAACGGATTATTAGCTTAATACATCCTGTTACCACAACATAGGAATATTTAATTTCTAAATAGGGCATATCAGCTTGCGTGACCAATAAATGTAAGTTATATTATTATTTTTTTATTACAAAATAGTTTATTGTTCATTACATATTATATATTTTAAATAATAATAATAATAATAATAATAATAATAGATCGCCCAACTAGGAAAATCCCATATACTAAGTAAAGTGCTGTTAGTTAAATGACAGTTCTCCTATAACGCCTAAAGACCATAGTTAGACCCGGCTCTGCAGTAAACATAGCATACACAAATAATAATAATAATAATAATAATAATATGAAGAGAATGACAGAATAGTTCCATAAGATTTATAATGAACTGTTATACTTAGTAACCAATCAACTAACGGAGAATTTCCAAGATGAGCAAGACCACCATCATATTATTCACGTTTCGGTTGCATGATTCACGTTTCAATTGTTTTGACACGTTGCTTATCAGTACAATCGTTTTCTCAACACAAGCGACGTTTGTACAAAGACTTATAATTTTTTTCAGATTTTTAAAAATATTTTTATATTTTTATACAATTTTTAAACATAACTTGAAGATATACTGTCGAAATATTGTTGAACATTGTCAAACATTGCGTCTTTAATTTTATCTTATTTTTATTTTCTTAAATTGCGATCTTCTCTGTTGAAAAATAATGGAAGAGTTACGCCAGTCACTTTGTTCAGTAATAATAATAATAATAATAAATCTCCTGATGCTACATGGCTCTCATGGCTTCTGATCTTGAATGAAGGTTTTAACATGCACTATAGTCCTTCCTTCCTTCCTTCCTTCGGTGCCATGTGTGATGCATGCTTGTGGACATGTCTCTTTTCGATTCTTGATTGACTTGGCAGAAGAATTCCTGCAGCAGGCAGCCGTTACTTCCTGCTGTAGTTTGGTTGCTAATTAAGGTTACAGAGCCCAGTCTATCCTGCTATTTAACCCATAGCTGGTGGGAGGGAGAAGAGATAGGTTCACACCCTTTTCAAGGTATTCGTGCGCAAGTGAATGTGACGAACTCGACTGGAATTCGAACTTCGCTCCCCTATTTCTCATTCATAGCGCCTCCCGCACATCCAAGCTTACAGCATCCGGTATTCTCAAGTAGTCACCCATCTAGAAAATGACATGGATCGACGTTGCTTAACCTCGGTGATCGGACGAGAACCGGTGTTTCAACGTGATATAACCGTAAGCATCTGAGAGAAGGAAAACTCTGAATTCAAATACCTGCTGTCTTGTGGCCACAAGAAGTTGCGTAGGCGACATACCGGAAGAAGGCGTAGCCATATGAAGTTGCGACGCTGTCGAAATATTATGAAAACAGTGCAACTCTTGGCCTGAGAGAGAGGCTGGCTAGAGGTTCAATGAAGTCTCCGTCAATTCTTGTGTGCACAATCCTAACTTCTGAGATTCTCCCTCACTCTACCCAATCACAACAACTCGAACAATAAAGATATTTAACTGATAAAAGACTAAGAGAAAGCAATTTTAATGTAACACCCTCCAGCAGGTTTAAGCCAGATATCTTGTTTTGGCTCGTCTCTGGATTAATTTGATTTCTTAAAGTGAGTCTTTGCAGTGTTGAGCATATTGCATAAAACTTGAATTTTTCATGGGACGTAAGAATTACTCATGCTCGACTAACGGACCGAAAGCCATCATGTATGTGCGTATGTATGTATATATCTATGTAGAATACCCAAGCAAATACTCTTCGATGAGTTGCTCTACAGTACTCGACCCCAGCATGAACCAAGGAAGCGCTTTAAGGACCGTTCAATAGTGCCTTCCAAGAACATGCAATGAGTTGGGCAAATATCAAGAGTGAAGCTAGGAAAAGGGAAATCATTGATTCAGTTATCCAGCAATTTACATGTGTGCAGCGTGGCAGAGTACCTCGTGTTAGATATCGGTTGAGGAAGGCCTTTGACCTCACATCCGCTGCATCAGAGAGTCAGCGAAAATCGGAATGGGTGATAGCATAAACAGGAAATGCATCCGGTGGCTAAAATAAACAGAGCGCACAGGTGTCCTGAGCAGTTGGAAATGCGTGCTTGAGTGGGCGCCTGCCGGAAGGGGCGTGGCCAAACGGAGTTGCGTGGTCACATGGCCGAAAGCGGCGTGGCTACAAGAAGTTGCGTAGGTGACATACCGGAAGAAGGCGTAGCCACGTGAAGTTGCGTCGCTGTCGAAATGTTATAAAAACGGTCCAACTCTTGGCCTGAGAGAGAGGCTGTCTAGAGGTCTACCGAAGATTTGTCTCCGTCAATTATTGTGTGTGCAATTCTAACCTCTGTGATTCTCCCTCACTCTACCCAATCACAGCAACTCGAACAATAAAGATATTTATATATTTTCGTTACCTCTTCGTCACCGAGGCCCAAATATAGAATGAAACGGCCGTCCAGTGCTTTCTGCATTCTGTTGAGGTTTCTTCTAGACTCGATGAATTACTTAATTATGATTATCTCAAAACCTCCTAATGATTTCTATCACTTGTACATCCTTGCTTGAACAGGCTTCTAATGCCCTGGCTGGAGCGGCTTGGGGATAGTAGTCGTGGCTCCTGGGGGGCGCAGTCTTATGAGTGGGGAAACACGGATAAGTTCTACCACGGAATATGTGAGCGAGCGGCGCTATATCGAGTCTAATTCGTTAACTCTTCGTCAACGAAGCCCGTTGGTACAGTTGGTATGACGTTTGCCTCATATCGTAACTGTCCGGGCTTCAATTCTCGGTAGTTGATGCACACTGCTGATGAGTCCCAAATATAGGACAAAACGGCCGTCCAGTTGAGGTTTCTTCTAGACTTAATGATGATTATATATATATATATATATATATATATATATATATATATTCGTGTTCGTCGTAGCAGCAATATACATTACGTCGTTCCAATGCAGATCTCGTTGGCCATAACAGGAGACATATTGGTAGACCTTTGGCAAATTACGATCAGTACTACAAAGAACATGCAATGTGTTGGACACATAAAAATTCGCTGGAGCTCCTGAGCCGTGGTAAAGGCAATCCATTTATGATAAGAAAAACTGAATTCAAACCCATGTTGTTTTGCATTTTTTCCTTGGCTGGAAAAAAGACTAGAACAAGTCAATAACAACTGTTACACCATCAAACGTAGTTGTCTGATAACTTGCTTTGCCTTGTCTCCGAATTACTTCGTTTTGTTAGGGAAAGTCTTTACTGTTTTGTATAAGTTTGCAACCGTGATTTCTGGCAATTTTCAAAACTGAAAAATCTCCTGAGATGACGAAGATATGCTGACATCAAAAAATGTAGCAACGTTGATGGATAGCAAATCTAGCAACAAGAGACTACATTCTTTTTCTTCTACGTGCAGTGTCATAGCTCTCCACAACCGCCTATCCCTTGCAGCCCTTAGCAGCATTTGACCATTAGCCTAACGCCCCACCCCCGTTCTGCCATCCATTAATATAAGCTCGTTGGGTAGGTGACCTGCCGCTCTCTCTCTTGGCCTCAATATCTCCTGTAAGTGTCAAATTCTCGAAGTCCTCTTTCTTCATTACGTATCCAAAAAATTTCAGTTGTCTTTTTCTGTTTCTGAGTATAAGTGTCCTTTTTGTTTCTATTTTCCTTAAAGCTTTTTTTGTTGTTTGCGCTCCCAGTCTATAGAATTCTCAGCATCCTTCTGTAGAACCATATTTCTTCATCTGTGAGGAGATTCAGTATTCACTGCCATATGGAAGGATTGATATTATGCATCAGTTTAACGCGTTTTTCTTTGTTCCTAACTAAAAAAAATGTTTCCTTCTTCGGAGTTCTTTATTGTGGAATGCGTCTTTCACTAATCCAATGCCCGTTCGAATTTAGCTATCGTGACTCAAAATAAGACATGCAGATGACACAGTGTTGATAACAGACATAAAAAGAAACGTAGAAAATAACTCCTACAGAAGGTAGTGAAAGAAAGCGAGAAACGATTAAACATCAATTGCAAAAAGACAGAATGCATGGCTGTTAGCAACGGGATGAGTCCAAAGTTCGATTTGCAAATCGAAGATGACAAAAACCAAACAAGTGCAGAAATTTAAATATTTAGGAAGTGTTTTGACAGAAGACGGAAAGTGGGACACTGAAATCCGAAGGCGTATTGGGATAACCGAAAGATGCCTTCCAAAACCTAAGCAGAATAATAAGAAATAAGATTTCGATAGAAACAAGAAAAAGAGTATTAAACTGCTATATGATAAATGTCTCCCTGTATGGCAGTGAGTGCTGGATAGTCTCCTCAAAGATAAAGAAGTTTCTTGAAGCAACGGAAATAAAGATTCTACAGAAAGATGCTGAGGATACCATGGACTAAACATGTGAGTAACGGCGAAGTTTTGGAGAAAATGGAAACAAAATAGAAAACTAATGCTTAACATCAGGAAGATACAGTTGTCATACCTAAACGTACCTATTCTAGTATTAATAGACTCTTCTACACATAATAAGTAGTAGTAGTAGTTGTAGCGGTCGCCAGTTGAGCTCAGTGGAGTTGAGTGAGTCAGTCGATGTCTGACATTGAAGTATCAACCATCACAACTAGATTGCTGCGTCATTAACTCTTTTTTCAAGTTCCTAACGTTTTGTACGTCGAACCCTTTTTAGGACCGACTTATTGAAATACAAGCCTCCACTGTAAAAACTACTCTACAACAACGGTTGAGGTTTCAGTGGCATATAATGAGGAAGGAGGGCCTGAAAAATATGATACTTATGAGACGAATGGAGGGCAAGAGAGGAGAGAGGAAAATATCGCATAACATATTTAATGAACTTGAGTAAATGTAGGGCTGAACAGGGCTTAGGAGAAATAACAGAAATACCAAGTTTATTATGAGCTACAAGTGACAGGAAATTGTGGAGAGCCATGATCGCCTACATCCTGAGGGGACACGGCAAATAAAGAAGACTACAGCACTGAAAGATATTACGTAAAATGATTTTCCAGAGATTTATTAAGTGCATAACTTAATAGGGGGGTATTTTGAAGGAGACAGCAACCAGTAAGGTCTATTAGAGCCTAACAGCCGATCTCGACTTTGACCCCCACCTCAGGTGCGTCAATGGGGGAAGGGCTGGCTCGTAAAATTCAATACGACCAAAATCAAACTAGTAACGATCCACCACCCCCGAGCAGACCCTGAACTTTCCTCTATTATGATGGGTGGGTCTTCTCTCAAGGAAGCTCCTCGCCCTGAACGTTTATTGGGACTGAAGCTCACTCAGACCTCAAGTGGAACTCATATATCCGGCCCATTGCTAAAGATGGTGGGAAAGATGGTCGGTTCATTGTACCACTCCAGTAAGTATCTGACTCTCTCTGCTATTCTTTAGCTGACCAAAAAATGGAGTATTTCTGCCGTATCTAGGTTGGAGCTGACTAGTTCTTACTTGCTTGTTTTGAAACAGTTCAAAAGCATCTACACCGCCTTATGGGTGATGAATTATTTTTCGCTCACCGACCCCTTTCCTACATACGAAACGTTGTGAGCCTCTTGCTACTCTATCGCTATTTCCATGGCATGTGTTCTGACGAGCTACATTCCTTGGTTTCACTATCCCTTACCTTTACAACCAGGACGCGCCATGCCACCTACATAGTGGTGAATCATTATAATTCCCTTCATATTAGACTAATAAAAGGTAAGCTTCTTCCCAAGTAGGATGATTCCCTAGTTATTATATTTTCACCCTTTCAAATCTACGGTTAACTGTTACTTTTCCTACATAACCTTACAAACTGCACTTTTTGCCTTTTCTTATGCTGATACAACACCACACGGTAATCTTCTACCTTGAGAGACTCTCGGGCCTTGTATTGGGTGAACATTAGTATAAAAAAGGTAAGCAAACTTTGTTTAAATAGGGCTATTCGGAGGATTAAATTACCACATCTCGTAAATATGGCAGTGTTTGGTAATATGAAACATTCTCAGCCCCATGGTAAAACCCGTATATATATGCGTGTGTGTGAGAGGGAGATTTTTTCCATGACCTTTAAGTTATTACTAGGCGTATGCAAAAGTCATTACAGCTTGTTTTAAAATACTAAAGACTGAATGTACATTGTGGGAGCATATTTTTGAGGCCAATTCGTATAATATAATACAACAGTGCATTGTTTTTACATACCGGGTGTAACAGCATAATTGTCCATCC